GGCCACAGGAATGTGTGGTTGTCTGCGGCGGAGTATCCCCGAGCGAGCCTGAGCTTGCAGCGGCTCCAGGATGCTCCCTGGTGCCCAGTGAGAGCAGCCGCTTCTCCAGGCACCGTGTTGCAGCCGGAGCGGCTGCTGCTGGCGTGGAGACGGCAGCAGGATCTCAGCCAAACGTGTGATGGGATTGGAGGGAGCTCGATGTGTGCATGGCTGGGGCATAGAGCAGGCCCACCCTGGAGCGTCCCTCTGCCTCGGCAGCCTTACCAGCACAGCGCAAGGCTGAGCAGGCTGAGCTGTGCCGTGCTCAGTACACGCTTGGCATTGGGTCTGCTAGGAGGTCCTTGAGCAAGGAGAGGGCACAGGAGCATCACGTGGGACGTGGTGACAGTGCCACCCGCTCCCCGCTTGCGCTCACTGCGTCACCTCCCCACTTCCAGGGGTGAAGATCATCTTCCGGGTTGGCCTCGTGCTGCTCAAACACACTCTGGGCTCCTCGGACAAGCTCAAGTCCTGCCAGGGCCAGTACGAGACCATGGAGAGACTGCGAGCCCTCAGCCCCAAGATCATGCAGGAGGCGTTCCTGGTGCAGGAGGTGAGGCCCCGCTCAGGGCGGGGGGACCTGGCACTGGGGTCTGTCCTGCGCTGGGGTGCCGTCCTGCGCGCTGCCCTGCAGGGCCACCCACTGCCATTGCTGCTGGTGGGTCCCCGTCAGGTGGGGGGGGCCGGTGGGTGCCCCCTATCAACGCGGGAAGTCCCCCCCGCGCCTCCACGGCGCCAAGGCCATCAGCGACGCGGAGCCCCCCACCCGCAAGGCCCTGGAGCCGGTGCCCTCCATCATCGTCCCCCCCGGGCCGGCCCCCGTGCCCAAAGCCCGCAAGAGCAAGGAGAAGAGCCGAGACAAGGGCCTGGCTGGCCCCCCCAATGGCCCCGAGCCTGAGGGCAACGGGGCCGCCATCCCTTCCCGGGAGCTGCTGCACCCCCAGGTCTCTCCCCACCACCAGTCCAAGGAGAGTCTGAGCTCCCGGGAGAGCGAGGACACGTACTTGTAGGGCCCGCGCGGTGCTGGGCCGCCCCCGGGCAGGCCGGGCTCAGCTGGGCTGTGCACGCGCCC